TTTCTTTTAGAATACAAAAAATAAGAGTGGATGTGGCCCGGCTAACATGACTCAATGGTTGAGCATTGACCTATGAGCCAGGAGGTCGAGGTCTGATTCCTGGTTAAGGCACGTGCCTGAGTTGTGGGCTTCATCCCTAGTGGAAGGCATGTGGGGACAGCCGATCAATGATTCTCTCTCATCATTGATGTTTCTGTCTCTAGCTCTCCCTTCCTCTCTGAAATCAATAAAGATATATTAAAAGAAAAAACCAACAGGACAAAATAACCTTCAGACTGGGCCTAAAGCAACATTGTGCCCCAAGGAACTGTTTGCAAAGATAACAAGAAAACAGATATATGACTACTGAACAAATGACTACAGGACTGAAAATTTAAAACATAGTTTGGAGCCCTAACCGGTTTGGCTCAGTGGATAGAGCGTTGGCCTGTGGACTGAAAGGTCCCAGGTTCGATTCCGGACAAGGGCGTGTACCTTGGTTGCGGGCACATCCCTAGTAGGAGGTGTGCAGGAGGCAGCTGATTGATGTTTCTCTCTCATCAATGTTTCTAACTCTCTATCCCTCTCCCTTCCTCTCTGTAAAAAATCAATAAAATATATAAAAAAACAAACAAACAAAAAAACATAGTTTGGAATTAGTATCACTATGTCAGCTCATCTGCACCAATAGAAATGCATTGCTTTTGTTGCTAGAATTGTTCACCTTCCCTTTCTCATAAATTTCCCTTGCCTTTGTCTCCTAATCAGAACACTGGTTGGGTTTCTGTCTGAATCAGTGCTTCCCAAATACCTATTCTTTTGGATCTCAAATAAATGCTTGTTGCCTCTCACTTTGGCCTTTATTTTCAGGTTAACAATGTTATAATTTAGGTGTATAGTATATAGGCTTTCCTTTGTACTCTTGTCCTGGATTCCACATTGAGGCAGGACTGTTTATAATTGTGTCTGTCTCTGAATTTCAAACTCAACAGTGACAAGTGTGATTTATTTCCTTATTCCCAACATTGATGTAGGCCTAGTAAGTATCATGCAATAATAATTCTTAAGCAACTACTGTGGGTTAAGCACTGTTCTAGGTATGGGGTATTGGGTATAGAGGTGAGCAAGACAAACCAAAAAGTAACATGGCTCACCTTCTATTGGGGGGAGATAGATAATATACAATCTATATATATAAAAGCCTAAGTGACCAAATGACTGAACGACTGAATGACTGGTCAACTGACCGCTATAATGCGCACTGACCACCAGGGGGTAGATGCTCATGGTCAGTGAGCTCCCACTACCAACCTCCTGCGGCCCCTCTCCCCGGCCAACCTCCCACTGCCCTGATCGGCCGATCACCAGCCAGGCCAAGGGACCCCACCCATGCACAAATTTGTGCGCTGGGCCTCTAGTTAAAAAATAAATACAGTGGGGCCTTGACTTACGAATTTATTCGTTCCGTGACGGAGCTCATAACTCAAATTACTCGTATGTCAAATCATAAAGTGAACGAGTGAGACTCGTGATGCTGGGCTGCTGTTGTGGCGTTCACTGTGACGTTCGCTGCGCCAACTAGCGGTGGGGTATCTGAAGCTGGCTCATAACCCGAATTTTAGCTCGCAACTCAAAGCAAAAAATCGGCCAAGAGACGGCTCGTATCTCGAAAAACTCATTAGTCGGGACACTCGTAAGTCAAGGCCCCACTATAAAGGCAATTGCTGATAACTGCAATACAGGGTGAGTTACAGAAAACAGCAAGGTAGAGTTATGGAGAAGGGCTGTTTGTGATATAGGCTAGATAACCAGGGACCACTTGTCTGAAGAAGTGGCATTTGAGCCCAGACTTAAATAGTAGAAGCCAACCATGTAATGAGTCATCCCAGGAAGAAGGAAAGACAAATGCAAAGGCCCCGAGGTGGCAATACAGGGAAGCACAAGGCCAGAACAAATGCATGATCGAGGGAGAGAATGTTATGAGCCCTGAGAAGTGGGCAGAGCCTTTGGCCTGGGGTAGGGAGCTTGAATTTTTCTTCTAAGTTTGGTGGCGAGCCACTGGAGGAAGGTGAAGTGGCTGGGATGAGAGTGAAGTGGACAACTTCAGAATGTTTTGAAGGCAGAGCCAACAGATCCAACAGCAATCCAATCCAGATGAATTGAAGGGAGAAGGGTGGCTGAGGGAAAAAAAGGAAAGAGAGAAATTGAGGCCGACACCTAGGTTTGGGGCATGAGAATCAGAATGGGTGCGTTGCCATGCATAGGGAGGAGTAGAGTTGGAAGAAACCAAGAGTTCAGTTTGAAAGTGTTCAGTTTGACATGTCTGTTAGACTGGAAACTGGTGGCTGTAAATCCCAAACCCTGGGGAAACGTCAAAGCTAGAGTTGTAAACTTGGGATACAACAGCAGAGAGATGGTGTTTAAAGCATGAGATTGGGATTTGTGAGGGTCCCGGTGCTAGCAGGAAAGAGATTGTGCGCTCAAACTGAGTAATGGATGAGAAATTAATAGAGTCGGCTTACAGAGGTGCAGGGAGACAATCAAAGCATTGTTTACACCCTGGGTTAGAAGCCAGGAGCTCATGCCACGCCTTGGCCTTGGAGAGAGGGGGAAAGAGAGGAGAGAGAAAGAGAGAGAGAGAGAGAGAGAGAGATCAAGCTGTGCAGAGCTGCTACCTACAGTGGGGGGACACAGCCAACGTTGTCCATCTGAGGGCACATGGGATTAACATGCTGACCTCACTCTCCTCTCCCCATTAGCCAACCCCAATGGCAGCCAGAGGGGAAAGAACCTGTGTATGTAGGTGAACAGAAGTCTGAAAAGGGGTGCTCTGGGGATAGGAGGAAAACCAGGAGAGGTGGTGTTCCTGGAGATCAAGGAGCTAGAGAGGAAGTCAGAGGGGAGCCAGTGGCTGGGTCTGACAAGTGAATGTCATCAGCGTCCTTGAATGGAGAAGCTCCGTGGGATGGGGGACCAAGAGCAGAATTAGCATGGCAGGAGGAGGGCCAGGGGTGATACAACCAAGAGGCCGCTATAGAGACAACTCTTCCCAGAAGCCCAGCTTTATTTTTATTTATTTTTTCAGAAGCACAGCTTTAATCCTCATCACCTCTCAAGAAAACTGAGCCTTGGAGAAGGCGGGTACCTTGCTCAGGTTATGAGTGAGATGGAACCCAGGTGAGCCCAATTCCAATTAGGCCAATGGGGTCAGAGGGAAGAAGGAGGTCAGATGGTCAGAGGGAGGAGAGCAGTAGTTTGAGATTGCAACCCAGGTTGCAATGAGAGAGTGGAAAGAGAGGGGAGTGGCCAAGGAAGGCAGAGTTGGGGGAAGGAATGATCAGAATTGGGCAGATTATTGGGGGTTTCTGAGGCTGGGTAGCCCTACCACTTTCTCTAGGTAATTATAGCTTTCTTCCTGGTCACCCTAGAATGGTCAGGGCAGGAGGGCGGATTTGGAGAGAGCCTGGGGAAAAGAATAGACAATGTCCCTGGAAGTAGATCTCCCAGGGGGAGGACCAGGATCTGGCCCTAGCTTCAGGGAGCTGCTACCTCCTGCAAGCCTGGATCCCTCTCTGGGCCTTCCCAGCTGCCTGAGCCCAAGATGACTGACTGCCTTTCAAACGCAGTCACTCTGCTGA